CAGGCCATACCTGCCAAGTGCAAAAGGCGAGCGCCTAAGGCGACCTGAACCCAGCCCGCCGCGGGTGCACGGGTCGGAAACCGGGCGATCCAGCCAACTGAGCCAGCAGGACGGCGTTCTCGGCGAGTTTTGGTGGACAGACGGATTTTGCTGTCAAAGCGGAACGTGCCACAATGTTCGCCAGGTCCGCCCCGCCCTCTGACGTCACCTGACCTCAGAGGTCAGAGCCCAGAAAGACGGGCGCCGTAACGAGTTCAAGATCAAATCAGAAAACTTTTGATGGCTTTCGAACGGTGGAAGGGTTGGCAAGTTTCACCCACGGTTGCCATGAGACAAAGGCACGCATTTTTCCGCGGCGCTTTGCTGAACGCTGTGACGATCCGTGTTCACAGCACGCGCCAGGACTGACAAAGGACGCGGGAGCAGCGTGGGGCTTGCGAGCCGGGGGCTGTGGCCACTTCCAGCACTTGGAAGCCGAGATGCGACAATGCCGGGTACAGAAGGTGTGACCCTCGTGTCCTAAAAGCTTGGATGCCCCTCACAAATGAATGAGACGGAGTGCGAGATTGACGGTGGGCCCAGCATGCACGCGACGGTAGATGTTCTGCGCATACCGTGTGTCCAAACCCATCCGTGCAAGTTATCTGTAACGAGGTTCCTAAAATGTAATAATGATTATTGGCTGAGCTGGTGGCGCTGGATCCAATGTCGCATCGACTTTCCACGCATCGACCTGTAAGATCGTGCTGATGCGAGGGGGGCGATGCCCAGCGGTACCGGCAGACCTTCACACTCAGGTGGGACGCAGCACAGCGGTGCCATGGGACCGCCACCTGGGTTAGTATGGCATCGCTTGTCTCCCACCCTGGCGGGAAGGACGGGCACCGCGGGGAATCGAACCCCGTACCTCTGGCTTCCCAGACGCGCAGCTTAACCACTTCACTACCGTTACCCGCTTCATAGGCATGATGCATGGATTTAAGTACTGCGTGCACCATATGCAATCGAGTGCTGTTGCGCCCATGGAGCGTTTTTTACCTCGCGGCACACATTACCAGCTGAATTCTCCAAGAGTATACTGCCGCCTGTAGAGTATACTGCCGCCTGTAGAGTATACTGCCGCCTGTAGAGTATACTGCCGCCTGTAGAGTATACTGCCGCCTGTAGAGTATACTGCCGCCTGTAGAGTATACTGCCGCCTGTAGAGTATACTGCCGCCTGTAGAGTATACTGCCGCCTGTAGAGTATACTGCCGCCTGTAGAGTATACTGCCGCCTGTAGAGTATACTGCCGCCTGTAGAGTATACTGCCGCCTGTAGAGTATACTGCCGCCGCCTGCAGCGTCTCAGTGTGCTGCTATTCAAAGGCCGGACTTGGGAGCATATGTGCTGTTTTAGTACAGCGACGGGTTGTTAATGGTAAGGGCTATTTTCGATACGTTTGTACCATAAGTGGCTGATTATGAGCAACAAATGTAACATGCACTGGAACCATCAGATTGTTCCAGACCAATGCAAACTAGATTTTTCGAGTTCAGTCCCGTTTTGTGCTGGTCAGCCATCATGTTTGCGTTAGTTCGAAAATAAAGGAATAAGGAGGCAGATGTGCTCCGAAGTCAGCACGCATTTCAGAGCATGTGTGCATAAATATCGCGAACTGGACGTGGAGCGGCAACCTCGACTGAAAAACACACACATTAGAGACTCTGTAAAAACAAACTGCTGGAACAGCTGGCACAAACAGAAAAGAAGGTAGTGGTAGAGAGTGTGGTTATGCCGTAGACATAGCAAAGCGTTGACCAAACCTCCTCACAAAGCGCCTCGCCAGGCATCTTTTGGTTGTTTTCGTGGCCAAGTGTTAAGCGTAACGCTAGAAACTTGCATTGCCTGGCCCTTGTGATCTGTTGCCATCGATACCTTTCACCGAGGGCAAGCCGGTGACGCGGCAACGTGGAGAGCTGTACGGGCTGTTGCCACGCAAACTTCTGGACGTCTGGCTACTGTGCTGGCCGAGGGCTCAGGACCACACCAGCACCAGTGTGTCCGAGTGGTGCCGCTGCAGACATGGAAACTTCTGGACGTCTGGTCACTGTGCTGGCCGAGGGCTCGGGACCACACCAGCAACAGTAGGTCTGAGTGGTGCCGCTGCAGACATTCGCGCACCGGTCTGCTCGCCGCTGCGCTCGCCCGATCTCAGACGTGTCGCTGCTTCTCGGAGCCTCGGAGCACGCCGTGCCTGACCGGCGGTCGCCTCCAGAATGGCAGGTCTCGGCCAAGCTGCCCGTCAAACTGTCTGGGCCCAGTGCGGGCGCTGGGAAGCCACACACACAGGAAACTTGTGGAGCACCTGGAACGATCTGGTCGTTTGTAACTGTGTGTAATGGACTGAACAAGATTCTAACCCTTTTGCCGTGAAAAATGACACCCGGGTTTTAGAGTTTATTCCTGCAGGCAAACGGTTAGGTATATATTTACACCCTTGTTCAGTCCCGTGCCTCCGCTGGAAGTCGATGGGTTTTTCTGACTCAGCGTCGACGATCAGAACAAGTGGTTACAGGAGGAAACGACATACACCATCCGCCTATACGAGCACCGCAAACAATACAACATAACAATTTTGGCTAGTCGTGGTGCAGTGGCAGTGTGATGATGTCTCAGAGCCCGTACAAATTGTAGGGTGGGTTCAACAACTGGCGAAAGAGCTACGGGTTGGTATGTGCATGCTTATTGGCTCCTTTCCAGTAAGACAAACAGTGTATATGTGAACATCGACTACCTCAAAAGCAGTTTGTCATTTAATGTAGCTTGCAGGAAGGTGTTTTTGCATTTGCAGCAGCTTTTCTGAAATGCACCCGCGAATGCAGCAGTGTTCCGTTACTAGCGACTCGTTAGCAATCAAAGCAAAGTTTTCGTTTTTGGGATGATTAAAATATTTCAAACAATCTTCGTCACCTAGGTGTTTTCTAGCAACTTTTCTCTCTTAAAGGGCGTGTGCCTAATGTTTTCGGTTTTCTCAATATACGCTTGAGGAGAATTTGGCAATTATCTATGGTTAATTTGGTTGCTAAATGTGCATTTGAGTCTTGCAACTGTTTTGATTTATTTATTGTTATCCATCCCATCTGTGGCTGTGGGTTCACAAATGCAATGCTAAAAGATAAACCAATCAGCGGGCAGGAAAGGACGAATACACTTGCATATATGTGGCAAGTAACTCCGCGCTAGACACATGACCAGGGGGTTTCATCCGTATCGTTTAACACTTTCAAAAAGTGGCAACATTGAGCTGCGTGGGAAAAGAGATGGTCTGGACACAAAGCCTGCATGACGTCATGTACGCCATATTTGATGACGTCAGTGGCACAGAAGCCCTTCAGTTAGCCGGCTGACTGCTACACAACCCATTAGTTTGAACGGTGAGTATGTTTTGGTGGCGTGCGGCTGGCGCATCCCGGTTGGACTTTGAATGAATTGTCTACGGTGTTGTCATGCAAACACAATTCTGGAAGGGAGATTGAATCTCGGAACAGTTTAACCTCATCAGAAATTTATATTCTTCTGTGGGGTGTGCATAACCTGGGGGTAAACGTCATGCGGCATTTGTAGCGCATCGCGTATCGCGGTTGCTTGGCGTCTCATATCCGTGGGTTGCGATCAGTTGTTATGACAACGCCTTGTGCGAGAGATCTCTTGTACGGTTTGTTTTGGACGATTGGTAACATTTAAAATGCTCGGCCTGTGAATAGTTTATTATGCATATGTGTACAAGCCCTGAAGTATAAAACTCTTGACTGCAGCGTCATAAGGCCAGTATCATAGGGTTTCACAGTACTTACCTTACTGTACTCACATCACTGCGATAGGAAGAGTGGGATCTATTACAAATCAATATTGCAAATGTCCATACACTCACACCTATAGACAGAGCAAGGTATGCAAGTTGAGCTGTTCAACTCTGCCACCAGGCACAAAAGGCACAGACAAGCATAAGGCTATCTAACGACAAGCCAGCCTTGGACAAGCCTGGCCATGGAATGCAATACACCACAAACGCCGCATGAGATGTAACCCCGTATTATATCATCATGCACGCAAAAATCGCACATTCTGGTGAGGCCAAACTGTTCCATGACTCACTGTCCATTCCAGAAATGTCTGCGAATATCGAAATGACGGATAAGTTATTCTCAGTCCAGCCGGGAACCGCCAGCAGCACGCCACCAAAATATACTCACTTTTCAAACTAATGGGTTGTGTAGCAGTCAGCTGGCAAATTGAGAGGCTTCTGTGCCATTTACGTCATCAAATATAGTATACTTGACGTCACGCAGGCTTTGTTTCCAAACTTCCTCTTATTCTCAAGCAAGCTCGATGTTGCCACTTTTTCGGACCGGACGGCTCTACCTCGTTAGATAGCCTTGGACATGGCCATTATTTTGGTTGCTTAGTATCGTAGAACAATCACATTTCCCGTGCGTCTAAACCCGTACACTCGCAGCCCTCAGCTGAATGTAAGCAACAAAAAAACATCAACGTAATGGCCATCGCTGCGTTCACAAGCTGCTATCAGCGATGACAAGCGACGTTCTCGAAAAGCCATTGGCTAGAGCTAACCAAACCTTTTCAATGATGTCGATGTGTTTACTAGTGGTTAATGCTTGGGAGCTACCCGATAGATTTGTTTTGTCATACAAACCAAAGAAAATTTGGAGGCTGTAGCAATATCTTGTCAGTGGAGGCGAACTTGTAGAAACCAGTCACAACAATATCTGTAAATCGAAATTCCCTATTATCATACGTGCACAGTCAAAATCCTAACTTGACTAGACACACTCCCTTTAAACATACTGGCGGAACGTTGCAACTATCATGCGCGTCTCCAACATGGTGGGAACCTGCAAAATCGGATCACGTGCCGTAAAATGCATACTGCTGCAGTGCTTGCTGAACTTTTTCGGCACATTAACGTTAGTTTGGCGAACACTTTGTAAGAGAGGCGACAATGTCTTTCAATCCCAAAATTCTCCCGAAAGAACCAACAACTACAGTTCACAATTTGGCAATGCATGTCTTCTCCGGAGATGCCTTGATCAGGTATCTATCCACTCAGATGACATGAGAACGTTTTTGTGTCCAGTTTGGCCAGTTTACCTCTCTGCAGCCGTGTTCTATCCAGCTCTCCAGCAATGACGTCATCGACAGCTACCGTGGCCGGATGTCTCGACCGGCCGCGTGGCTCAAGAGCCACCACGCGGGGGCGCCCGCTGAGCGGCTCTCCGCGCGCCCCGAACTGACCGGCCGCCTCTCCCCGCAGCTGGCCGAGTCCATGGCAGTGCTCGGCAGCCTGGCGTCCTGAGCCGACCCGTGCGATGCATTTCTGGGTAGCGAAGCGGAGTCCGCACGCCTGGAGCCATCACCACGTGTCCTCGGCCTCCTGGTCCAGCGCGCCGCGGCCCCGACCCAAGCGCTCCGCCCCACCCATGCCGGCGCCCGTGCACAGGTGAGCGACGCGCCACCGGCGGCGGTCACGTGGTCTCGTGGCCACGCGGCCACACGGTGCACCTGGTGCATGGCTACTAGCCACGAATCTAACCCTCGTGGTCCAGATACATGTCTGGTCTGGTGAACGCATGACGAATGGGGTACGCATGGCCCACATGGCTGGTGCGATCACATGTTGTGGATGGCCACATGTTGCACACGACCACACTGCCACACTGGTCACACTTGCAATCGATGGGACGATCGGCAAGGCCACTGACAAGTGGCGCGACCACCACTGACTTTGCGTCGGCCCGACAAGTGACGCGACCACCACTGACGCTGCGCCGGCCCGACAAGTGACGCGACCACCACTGACGCTGCGCCGGCTCGACAAGTGACGCGACCACCACTGACGTTGCGCCGGCCCGACAAGTGACGCGACCACCACTGACGTTGCGCCGGCCCGACAAGTGACGCGACCACCACTAACGTTGCGCCGGCACGGCGGTGCTGCCACGCGCTGTGCTGGGCACATGTGGCGTGCTGAGGCATAAGCGCCGAAGGATTTAATAGGGACGAGTCATGACACTGATGTCGGAGCGTGACCTCTCAGGTCGGGCGGGTTACCGTCCGGTAGTGGGAGGGAAACGGGCACTAAGTGCTCAGGACCACGACTTCTCGGGTTTCAAGAAACGGATGTGCCCGAGGGAGGGTGCACTGACATATTGCAGTTTCGATATTTGCTGTTCAGTATGCTTGGGCCAATAGTGTGCTTCCTTACACAGCTGGGAGCTACATGCACAGCTGTCTGGCGACGCACATCCGCGAAGTCCCAGCTGCCTCCACAAAATCACGTGTTTAGTAACTCTTCTGTGAGTACATTATTGTGTGCCAAGTACCATCTTTCGAAACATTACGTTTGCCAAGTGTTCACCATCTGTTGAAGGATCAAATGAAAGCGTACCAAAAGATAGCATATTACATTAGCATTTCACCGTTACCCCAAATGTGCCTAAGTTTCCCCAGGCTCCAAAATAAAGACCGGTTAGCAGGAGCACCACCTCTTCGCCCTTCAGTCGAAGACCGGGGTGTCACTTTCTCAAATCGGCTCTGGGGCTCAGCCGAACAGGCTGGCCCAACCTGCCCCCAAAACCTGGTTTCCCCCCCCCCCTCTTTGGCCCACTTTAATTGTAGTCCTTAAAGTTGCAAACATATTTAACTCAAAAAAGCATGTTTTGTGACTGCAATGTTTTTTTTTCCTGCGGAGGAATGAGAAATGAATTTCCATTTGAAGTTAATATGAGCTGCTTTTCAGTGCAAAGCCTAGAATTGGATATAATTTACAGAAAAACATTTTAGTTCCTCTTACCAAGGGATCACTGATGAGTACTGCTGTCGCTGATCGTGTTTTACGACCACCGCAGCCACGATTATGCAACACATACACTTGCCACTGATGGAAACAACATGCATTAACTTTTATATGGACCACCCTGGACTTTTAAAATCTAGCGCATATTGCAGTCAATTAGTCTCTATCTCAGTCCCGATGTAATCTTTGGGAACACTTGTCAAACACTCGCAGATTGGCTTAACATATGAAGAACCAAACATTCCAAACCAAAACAAACCAAGACAAACCAACCAAAAACCAAAACATTCGGTACCTACAAGGTACCATTTGGTAAGAAATTAATATGACACTGATATGCATTTGGCCACATCACATCAATCCATCACCTAATGAGGGGCAGGGCGGGTCGTCGCATCTCACTGACAGCGAGTTTAGCCCCTATTGCGGAGCAGCGCTCAACACAGGCAGGGACGTATGCGGAATTTTCCTCATTGGAGGGGGTGTTAAATTTGTCTGCCAACTCCTGCGTATTTTCATCGCATTCTCGTGAAATCGTCCAGTATCTGACGTAAATCTCTTGGTTGAAGGGGACATTTTACCAGATATTTCCTCCAGGGATGCAACAGCGATTTTGGTTTTGCTTGAGCTGAACGTGAAGTATCGAATATTTTTTTTCCAATGCTCTTGAAAATGGTCATGTTCTTGGGAAGAAACTGCCAATAGCGAGACGCTGGTATTAGCGTCACGCATCGATGAATGTGCACGTCAGTCAAGTCAATGCAATTTATGGCAATTCGGTGAGTGGGCGCCACACTGCCTCTTTGGGTGAAACGCAAAAACCGTCATGTGATTGCGTTGCAGTCTCCATGTAGGCCTTTTAGTTCTCTTCTGCTAGTGCCAAGCATTATTTTGAGCTGCTATCGTGTTGCATGTTTTCTTTTAAACCTCCGTGCAGTGGAAAACCACTTTTTAAGTATAATTTTCCAAGAGTTGGATTTTTTGGGAGGACTGGAATATAGGGCCTGCTTACTTATATCCTTACGTGAGCGAGCTGGGTTAGGCCAGCGTGAGGACATTTAAAGACAGCCAATTTGTATGCACCGTACTGAAGATCACCTTGCTTACCATGACGTCATCACGGGCTTCGTCCTTGACCAAGGTCACGTCTTCCTCAGGTACCCGCCGGTGCCGACGGTACAGCGCGAGGCTTCGCGCCGATTGGCTGAACACCAGCGGCCGGCGGCCAATGGCGAATCGTCGCGCCAGCTTGCGGCGCGCGCGGATCCTAATCAGGAGGCGCCACGTCAGCCTGACCTGTCAGAGCTGGAGGCAGCCGTCCTTCTGGACGAAATGTCCGATGACCTCGACTGTGACCCGGCCAGGAAGTAGGTTGCTGACTGCGGGGGGCTTAATGGGACGGATTTTCGAGTTTGACTTAATGGTAATTGTGTGCTTGATAACACGCAATGCAGCGCCTGCGGTGGTGAGTAATCTATGGAGGCATCTTTCGCCAGCTTGGTGGACTTGTATTTGCGATCCGCACGCTGTGAGACTACAACTTAGATATTGACGGAGTCGGCTATCTACGAGTGGCCTATTTGATCATCGGATTTTTGACAAGCAGTGCCTTGGTAGTCCCAAATGCTCCATCTACAGATGCGTGTTTCGCAAACTTTCTGCTCCTTGTCTTGTCTGCCCCGCGTTCACGTTAGTTCGTATCTAACTGATCCTTCGCGTTGCCTTACCATTCAGGCGTTACTGCTGTCTTGCCAGTCAACCACTCTCGCTGCCTCAGATGTCCACAAAGTAACCGTATGGGTAATGTTACTTTTACCGCATTGGGTGCACTAGCACTTGATTGCCTTGCAGGCCCTACCCGATGATGGATCCTTGGCTCCTTCTCCGTCACCTGAATGGTATCTTTGTTTGGGTCCCAAGGCTGGGTATATTTTCTTCTGGCTCCACTGAATTCGATCACTGGATTCTCCAGGCAGCGGTCAAAGCCATCTTCAGTCCGCTCCCTCACCCCAGTGGGCTGACTTTTCAGCCAGTGTGGGTAACTTATAACTGCATTCCCTGGTTTTTGGACCGTTCCATTCATTTTTGACTTCTTTCTGAAACACGAGGTATTGTGCTATTTTGTATTCCCATCTGACGCAATAATAGATTGTCAGACGATAAAGGCTTCGCCTTATAACACTTCAGCTAGGCTCGGTGATGTTATCCATGATGACATCGGTGATAACATCGGTGATGACATCGGTGGTGATATCTGTGAGGACAACGGCACTAACGTCAGTGCTGTTTTCGGTGGTGTAATCTTCTGGGCTAGGTAATTTCAGAATAACGAGGTTAAGGAGAGAAGTAAGAAGTGGAAAATACTGTGGTTATCCTGGCTATCCCAGTTTACTAGACGCACTCGAGCAGCAACACCAACCAAGCCAGAGGTGACGGGTCGTGTTCGTGTTCCGCCTTAACCAGCAGCTGGTCCAGCTGTCGGCGGGCTCGTGACCGATGGGTGCAGCCTGCTCTTCTTGGACCGAGGCGCTATGGTGATGCGGGTCAGGCAAGGGTGCTGGCTATGGGGGGGGGGGGGGGGGGTGGATCCGCGTACAAACTGTTCCAGTCATCGGGCTGCCAAACTGTGTGCGTTTCGAGTTCCGATGCGGCCCCGGCGTCGGCATCGCGACTGGGAAAGTGCGGAAAGAGGTGGGGGCAGCTGAACCCCGTCAGGGACTCGTCGAAACCCGTTGGACCGGGCATGAGAATACCTGACCTGACCCTGAGCGCTTGATAGCTAGCTGCTTTGGAAACGACGGGAAGGCGCGCAGTGCAGTGCTCGCTGGGAACGTGGCCATTCGGGATCAACTGGGGCGGGGATTTGGACACCGCATTACATAGATGGCTTTATGATACCACATAGAACGGAACCACGCCCGTATTCAAACTCATCACGCCATATGTTCATCGTGCCGAGACGTTCTCTGCATGCTGGGTCACATATGTTGGTCATCAGGACAAGGTTGCACGATGCTGCGATTGTCCCCCGACTTGCTGACGTGTGTGCCGGAGAAGGCAGGGCGCTCCTCCGCATCAGACTGCACCAACACGAGCTTCGCGCAATGAACTTCGACAGACTTCAATTAAGGCAAAACGGTGCGGGATGTCTTTTGGTGCTGCATCGGAAGAAAGACAGTTACCTATTGGCACGTGCCAAGAAGACATACATCATTGAAGGTGCGAAGTGCGTATTGTGCGTCCGCTGCAACGGGAATCGCAGATCGCAGGTTTGCAATGCGTCCCCCGTCAGGGCATTGCCAGTCGTGTCGTGTATGCGGAGTGTGCGTGGGAGCTGCAGCGCATGCGGCCCGCCCGCCAGCCACGGCTCGGCCTCAGGGCTGCCTTGGCTCGGGGCTCCCGCCCGAGCGCCCGCGCACGCGCCGATGTGCGTCCCCAGTGCCACATATGGGGCGGGTACAGGCGATACCGAGTTTGGCTGCAGTGCCACCGCCCTATTACAGGTTGCCGTCTGTAAGGTCTCCTTTACTCAATACACCCTTCAGCCATGGGAATGTGCCCGTGCCGCACTATGCTAATCAGCTGCACCCGGTCGTAACGAACACATGTACATTTTTCCAGCACCTGACTCTAAGTTATGAGAAGCTTTCAGGAAAGCTTCCGCGAGCCCTTTTCTTCTATGTTGATAATCACAGATAACTGTGAAAAGTGTTAATAATGATTAAAAGAAGCGCGAATAGTAACTGTGTAAAGTATTCCTTGAAGTATTATCTCGACCCGACGTTTCTAGCCAACCCATAAGGCCTACGCCAGATCCCTTTCCTCTCTCGCCGTAATCTGGGAGAAATGAAATAGTCAGTGGTGGTTGGAACACTCACCGAATCATCTACATCCATCGCCACTAAACGAAGCTGAGTCCAGCAGCTCACTTTCGTCACCAGCGGCTCCGATCTCCAGCCGTTCTCTCGTCGCCAGCGGCTCCGATCTCCAGCCGTTCTGTTGTCACCACCGGCTCCGATCTCCAGCTGTTCTCTCGTCACCGTCGGCTCCGATCTCTAGCCGTTCTCTCATCACCACTGGCTTCGATCTCCAACCGTTCTCTCGTCACCATCAGCTCCGATCTCCAGCCGTTCTCTCGTCACCATCGGTTCCGATCTCCAGCCGTCCTCTTATCTTCACTGGCTTTGATCTCCAGCCGTTCTCCTGTCACCAGCGGCTCCGGTCTTCAGCTCGTTTCTCGCCACCATCGGCTCTGATCTCCAGCCGCTCTCTTGTCACCATTGGCCGGAATCTCCAGCCGTCCTCTCGTCACCATCGGCTCCGATCTTCAGCCGTTCTCTCGTCACCATTGGCTCCAATCTTCAGTCGTTCTCTGGTTGCAGTGGAGACTAGATTACCGCTGCCTAATGTTTTAAAACGTTGCGTTACCATGCATGGCTGTTCCCTTCCAATGTTGATTTTAAACGAGTCCTGATGTGCTTCATGAGCTGCCGAGCTCTTAAAGGCAGACCTCGCCTGGGCTGAGCGCTGCAGAGACCAGGTGTGCCACCGCGAGCAGACCCCGCTTGGACTGGGCGTCGCAGAGTCCAGGTGTGCCACCGCGAGCAGACCTCGCCTGGACTGAGCGTCACAAAGACCAGGCGTGCCACCGCGAGGCGGCTTTCGGTTTATCTGATCTACCATAATGTGCAAGGATGGCGATTTCAGGTTCGCCGTCTGTCAGGGATGCTTTACGGTCGGCCTCCTACCGCTCCCAGAAGCCGCGAATCGAACATCTTTGAAGTCAGTGTGTCTCATATAATTATAGTGACATACGTATCACATATTTTTTGCTAACCCATTGCTTACAGCACCTTGATTGCTGTACTTCAGTTTAGTCTATTGTTCCGGTCAGGACCATAGGCCGAGTGAGACTTATTTAAACTAGGAGAGCATTGTCAGTGGCCCGGCCGGACTATCCTAGTCTCTTAAAAATGATAATTTTACGAAGGCCGATGGCACGTTTGTGAAGCTTCCAGCAACAAGAGCAGCGATTCTTTACCAGATGTGCTGCATAAACATGTGGTTATTTGCATGCAAACTGTTTTGCCAACCGGTGTTTTCTTGTACCATAAGAATTTCGTTCCGATTTCTTATTCCTCAGTCGATTGCTTTGGAAAAGGATGCTATTCAAATTGCGTGAATTCTGAATGATACTGCTCGTAACTGGACCTGATATTGGAGATCCGGCTTCGTAGTGCCACGAGAACAACCTATACCTGCGGAGGAAAAAAACGGAAAATGGCCTTGGTTAAATGCTGACCGATGTGACCGTCCCCCTTAATTGAGTTGCTTGTGATTTGTTCGTCCTGAAGCTCAGTTGGCTAGAGTGCTTGTCTTCCGATCCAGCCACCCGTGACGGGGCGAGATCGAGTCGCTTTAGGCGCCCTCCACACAGTGTCCTAGAATTGCCGACTTTGGGTGTGAAGCAACACCCTATCACGAGAGATTTTTCACTCCTTTTCTTCATATTTTATGTGAATTTTTCACTCTTGCCTGACATTGTCTAATCGCACATGCCAAACCCCTATTTCCCTTTCTGAGGATTTCAGACGTCTTCCAAAACCGAGCTCCCTTGAAACCACCAAGCATAAACGAGGCTCCGCAGAACCTGGACACCTATGGCTATGTCCTACCTCACCTACATCTGAATCATGTCTATGTATGCACAGAGCAAGTGCGCCAGGTACCTCCAAGCCCAAGAACCCCAGCGACCCCAGCCGCTTGCACGCATTAAGTTTGGTTTGTTTACGAAATGCATCAGAATCTGCAGCTGTGCGCCAAATGCAAGGTTTTCACGCGTTCCCCATTTTTTGGTCCAATCACCACTCCACGAAAGCAGAGCCTGGTGTATACACCAGCAAGGCCTGGTAGAGAATTTTACTCCACGCGTTTCTTTTTTCCCGGGAAACTTGACCACTAAATTGCATCACTCCCGAAATGCATGAGTGAAAAGTTCAAGAAATGCCTTCTAATTTGAAGTTACAAGATGAATATCACCAATTGAGCACTTGCTTTAACAGATTTTAAGTCAAATCAGCTGATTACAAAATTATGGGGAAAGGTGCCAGTCTTTATATTTATTTAGCTATTTTTGTTTTTCTTGGTATCATACTGGTGTGATACCACTTTATCCTTCCTTCCTTTTCGATTGTCTTTAGAGGTACCATCTGGCCCTTAAAATTTTGACCAATTTCTCTGCAAGATGCTCCAACTGCAAACTTGCACGCATTTCATACACAAATTTGCATTTGAATAAGCGACAAAGATTGCGCTAGGCAGTATGTTCTTAAAGCAAAACGTTCGACCCGGGTCATCTTAGGTCAATGGCCTGTTCTGACCTCTACGAAGACAGTTGAAGATGCATAATGCGGTTCCTGCTGTCAATAAATTCGAATTGAGCACCCGAAACTATTCCATACAGCAAGCCCTGAAGCAATAAATCAGGTTGGTTTTGACCTTGGTCTGACCATCATATTTGAACTTAGGTCAACGTAATGTGCTCATTCAATATTTGTGGTGCCTAAGAAAGCATTTCAGAGATGTACGTCTTCGTCAAACACCCCGTTGTATCAGATTGAACGATTCCCTAAAAACTCCCTTCGCTGAAACCATGGGCTGACTTTGACATGTTATAGGTCAGCGACCTTACAAGGTACATCTAAAATTTGTGTGACCAAACGATCTGCTATGCAATTTTCTACAGCTCTGCAAAATTTGGCGCAACTATGCCGCGCCGTTCAGAAACCATTCGGGAGCGCGTGTTAATGTATTCTGCTTCACTTTAATAGCCTAGGATGTTAAAAAACGAAATAGTTTTGTCAGGTTCCTGATATTACGTCCATGCCAACTGGAAATAGATGTCTTTGTTTGCTGAGGCATCAGTCACTAGCATAAGCTCCATATTTTGTGAATTGATCTTTTCACTCCCGCAGGTCTCTTTGCGATGGAATTTTTCACTCCCACCCTAGTTCAAAAGCGATTCTAGCTCCCTGCCTCCACATGTATGGCCTGCGGCCGGTGGCAACGGTGGCTGAAGGTCAGGTGACGCAAGAGGATAGGACAGACAGGGCCCACCATGGCGGCACCATAAAAGTTTCGACGCCAAGCTTTACAGTTGACCTGTATTTTTCTATCGCTTAGTAAAGGTCAGGGATCACACAACAACCTCTACTGGGTGTGACCTCTGATCCGAGAAATCCATCCATTCAAAAGGTTTGGACTAAATCTTTGAGAAAAATAGAAGGGTGTGAAAGCCAGCGCGCAATGTCGCGTTTAAACGAAAGATCCGCCCGTTTTGGTACTTTTTGAAAGACTGGCTAGATCTCAGCAGCCAGACCAGCTGAGGACGTGGCATCAACTCCACAGCGCAGGTGTATGTAGCGGCTGTAGCTGGCGAGGAACTGAGCACTGCCGGATCCGTAGGTGTGCCGGTCTTCGGCTGGAAGGCGGCCGATGTTACTTGCTTCGAAACCTATCTTCAACACGAGGCGCTGTGACTTCAACCGAGACGGCTTTGGCCTTGAGAATCCCACGTGCGCAGGGTCCTGTTCTTCGCAGCCGCCATCAGCCGAACGCTGTTGCGTTTTTCCGTCTCCATTTCCCTAACAGTAAAAGTGTCGCCAGATCCAGATGCATTGATGATCGCTAGTGCGTATTGGCGATTTCCAGCAGGGGTGGTGGGGGGGGGGGGGGGCGTAATGGCCCAATGGTTGATTTAGTGGCGTGACGGTTGAGTGCCTAGCGGCCTTCGCTTGCTCATGGGAACTGGGTTTAAACTCGTTTGCTCTATGGCCGCTGGGCGCCAACACGGCGTCTGTAGCTGCTGGTGAGAAAGCAGGGCTGAAGATGACGTGCGTCGCGTTTCCTGATTCAATTCAAAATATAGTCGGCCAATTGTCAAGTCATGTGATCCGTGAGTTAGCACGCCAGTGCCGCTTTCGCGCACTGCCGGCCGCTAAATTATCGTGAGAGGTACTTTCCAACGCATTAATGAAACCCATCGGCACCGGCCGGTACAGGCGTACGGATCCAGCAGTTTAATTTTGGGCATCGCCTTTAGGATGAACATGAACAGTTGACAGCTACACACCTGTTGCACCACACGAACGACCGCCAGGCTTTCCCCGAGGAGAGACTGTACCAACGTCGATATGTGGTGTTGCCTCCCCACCAGGGAACATCGCGGAATGACACGTTGAACCTGACAAGTTCCTGCTTTGCTATCAAAAACGGGCTTTAATCAGCGACTCCACACATCCCAGTCGTCGCATGAACGTCACCGCATTTTCATGATCCAACTGATAATCCGCTATGAGCGCTTTTAAGGCGTAACAGATCGGAGATCTCGATGCCGAAAACCTATTTTGTTTTAACTGTTTACTTCGTCTGGCTTGAAATGTTCCAACTTTTGGAACGCACGTGTGGAGGACTTTATCATTGTACCCAAACACGATGAACATGACACGGTACCATCCATTTTTGACGAAAGGTCTTAAAAACCAAGTTGTTGTCTGGCTGTCTTTTAAAGCTCCTGATAGATTTCTGAGCATTCCTCCGTATGTACTCCTTGCTCCTCCCACGGTTCTCTCCCAACAGGTCTTCGCTAGACATTTATCTACAGACGCACCTATCCGTGCGATGTTATCAGCTCCCTGGATGTACCTCGTCCGTTGTGCCATTTTGTCTTTCCTCTGGTCCTATGCGAATGACACTGTACGTCCCCCCTAAATCATGGATGTCTCTCAGTCTCCCCTACCCCACAGTTTCCAGCCAGACTTCCTTCTGACCCCCTGGCTGTCCTCTAGCTAGCCCCGGCTTTCGCCGGCTCTGGAATTTTCTGCCTGTCGCTTCATCTGACCCAACGGACTCGTCCTTCCGACTCGCTGATCGCGCTTGTGCCCTCTGTGACATGTCCTCCTCGTCATCTCCTGGGCGACTGGTGTTCACCAACTGTCTGTCGCTCCCCTGCGCCCTGTCTCCCCCTCCCCCATGGAGCCCTCCCGGACGGCTTCCCTGACCCTATCGATGCTCGCCAGATGCCAGTCCTGCTGCTGCATCGTGGTCGTCACCATCCTCGTCATCTTCACACTCTCCCTCGCCAAGATGTACATCGGTCACGACGTGCACGACGTTCACGACGAGCAGAACGAGCTCACGGGCATCATCTTCCTCGTGATGCTGCTGTTCTTCTTCTGCCTGCTGCTGTTCTTCGTGCGCTTCTCGGTGCTGCTGTTCAAGAAGCGCGTGCGGGACAGTGCTCCGCGCGTGCCGGCCAGCTGCGGCGATAGCGGCGCGCGCCAGAGCGAGACCGAGCCGGCGCCCACCGCCGCGCCTCCGCCGTACCACGAGGCGCTGCTGCTGCCGGCGCCGCTGGCGGAGAGCCCGCCGCCGGCCTACGACAAGCTGTAGGGCCTGCCGCAGGTGTGGCGGCGTGTCGGCCGGAGCAGCGGTCTTCCGTCGGTCGGCGGTGGAGGCGGCGGTCACCGAGCGCCGGCGCGAGCGGCTTCTGTACGGTCAGCGATGCCAGTGGTGCCGACGGGAAGCGGGGACAGCGCCGGGTGATGTGGACTGTGGAGTTAGCCGTCCGTCCGGAGCAGGAAGCGGCAGGCACTGTGGGAGACGAGCCTTACTCCAGGCCGGATTTGGGTCCAGGGCGGCGCTGGAGCCTTCCGACCAAGTCAACTGCGACACTCCTCGGTGGCTGGTGCGTGTCTGGTTAACATCTGGTGCACGCGTCGCGTGTGGTGCGCACCCGCGCAAACTTGGCCTTTGTTCGAAGCCGAGAAGGAAAGTTGCGATATGTAGCTGGTGCCACACCGATCCATGCGACGTGGTCGATATCCGGACGGCACGCATGCGGTGGCTGGCGAGGTGCCTCGACCGCTGTCCGTGGTGCTGCCGGCACTGCCGGAGTTTCGGATGCGCCTGTCCACTCCGTTATCTTCTGGTCTTCCGGAGGTCCGCTGACGACCGACAGCCGGGAAACAAGACGGTGGCAATGTGAGGTGGAGATGTGGAATGCTGGAATGAAGACCTTCGAGGTGAAGTAGCCACAGGGGATAGTGAGAGCGCAGGAGTGGAGAAGAAGCAGGATACACGATGGAATACGTTGCAACCGGCTGAAGCTGTCGATTGAAGCAGTCAGTGCCACGTGTGCACCCTGTGATTGAGGGGTGAGAATGATCTCAGCACTGCTGTTTGGCGTGCGTCTGATCGGCCGGCGCACGTCCAGGGCGTGCCGCGTGCGTCGGCGCACCATCCAGTGGGCGTACCGCTGCTGCTTCGCGACCGCACAGTGTGGTACGTGTGCGGCGATGAGGCGAGAGTCAAAACTGATCGACGCTGAGGAGGGACCCAGCCGCCTCATGGGCCACTCTTCGAGGGAACGTCCGGATCGGGCGGCAGCTGGTCCCTGGCCAGGGACCAGCTGGACCCGGCGAGCTGGAAACGGAGCCGTGCTGAGCTCGGCGGCGAGCTCGCGTTTTACACAGCGGTTGGCGCGGTTTTGGTACCGCACACTTTTGATACACGACCACTTTGTACGTTGAGCGTTTGATATCGAGCGCAGGGGGATGGGGGGGGGGGGGGACATGAAAGAGTGATGCATACACTGTACATAGTGACCCACGCGTGGCAGGCTGCGTCTGCGTCTCATTGTGCGTACGGTGTACATTGAAGTTGGTCATATTTGGCCGCCGTTCCGATCCCATCCGCTAGCGCGGCGTGCTTTTGACACGCAGAGCTGCATTGTTTCGACGCACTTCAATGCGTATTCACGCCGGCAACTCAGGATGCTTTCATTAGAACCAGAGACTGTTAAGTTACACGCGCCGCCTTCACTTGCAAATAAGTGAGGTTAAAGCCGCCTTTTAAGTGGTCGGCGCCTTGCGCAACTACATTTCACAAGCATATGGATAATTGAACCAAAATTGGTTGCACATATACTCATAAGCTCTTGGTGCATTATCACAGCCCTGTATGCCAAAAGCAAAACACAGATGTGGCTGGATGAGCACATGTATCGTAGCCCGTGGCATCTCGTATATATGCGGCCCGTGGCATCTCGTATATATGCGACTTTGAATGGCCTTCATAGGAACTCAACTCATCGCCGGAACTCGTTTGCCTTTTGAAACACGGGCCCTCCCTCGCTGAGGCCCAGCTCGGCAGCTAGTTTCAGGTTTGCATGTGATATTGACTAAGAGGTCGTTTCAGGTCAGCAGTTTTGACCGTTTCCCGGGTGAGCTGGCTGGTCAGCTGGAGTCGGTCGGCACATACCAGCGGCGCTTTAATGTAAGGTTTGAGTTGTGGAACATTGGTTTGTGTTATGTGTTCATATACTGCACTCGCATGCTACCAATCTTCATAGCTGGGTACTGCTTTTGTGTGTTTAGTTTGTTTAAGTAACGTGGATTTTCTTGTCTGGTTCGCCCTTCTCCTTCAGTATGTTCTGGCAAACTTAAACTTCATGCTAATTTTCAAAGTCTCATTACCATGAGACAGCTCCAGCCGGCGGCTTTAATGCAATGTGGTAGACAAAGGCAACGTCTAGCATAGTCATTCAGACATCGCATTGTCGGCAGTTGTCACCGAAGCGTGCACCAGCTTCATGCGGCATACGTTCAAGTAGAAAACCCGCTATAGCAGTAGGGAAACGAGACACGCGCGTAAAAATTTGCCGATTCAGGTTGTCTTCGTGCGGTGTGCCAAGGAGCGATGACCAATCAAAGTAACATCCGTGTAAGGGAAGACTACTTAAATTGCGTGCAGTAGGGGGGAAAAAAGCAGCGACGTCTCGATATTGTCGAAGCTCTTGCTTGAAGCGTCAAAGCGCTTCATCATACCATTCTGTATGCCATCAAAAGCGCCGTTGCTTCAGTCTACCGCACCCAATGCCAGAGAGAGCCAGGGGACACCACCTGCGATCTGTCTCAGCTATTGCCAGAGAGAGCCAAGGGACACCACCTGCGATCTGCCGAACCCACGTGACCGTTGACCTTTACAGCCAAAGGCGTCGGATCATAGCGCAATGGAGCCTCTCTCCTCAAGCCGTCGAATCATAGCGCAATGGAGCCTCTCCTCAAACAAATTTCCAAATTGGTTACTTGCAAGGGCAATTCCAGCACAGCAGGGTGCGAACGGGGAGATCTTGGACGGCCTCCCCGGTGGAGCTCGCTGGAATCGCCTCTGCCAGACCGCAGTCAGCCGGGAGACATTGATTTTCTCCGTCGAGAGCTGGGTTCTCTGGACTGCGGGGATCCGTTGTCAGTGGAGCGCATGCCAGTGCAGGCACTTTTGCCACGAGGACTTCTGTGCGGCTCAGTGCTGTAGACATTCAGCTTGTGCCGCTGTTCGCATTCTTACCGCGTTTTGCACGATGTCGGCTGGGTGAGAGTCGGCGATAGTTGCTGTCACGTAGTTTTTTCCAGTATGCTTAGCAGGTGCCAGGAAGCCCGAAATTTTAACGCCAAGTGTCCTCATCGGCTTAGATAAGTGAAACCAGCACTATCATGACCTTGAGGAAGAAATGAGACGAGGTGTTTGTGTCATGGATGGAATGTGTCACGGGGTTGTTCGGACAGTCGTGCTCGTCTGGTGTGTTAGTATGTACACGAGATATCTCTTACAAGTGATTCTGACTGGCTTCAAGAATCAGTGGAGGCTTTAAGACTCAAATTGACTGACAATTTAACCAACTCAGAAGCAGAAGTGGAGGGGTGCTGATAGCGCGGCGGTTGCGGTGCGCGTCTGGGAGACCAGAGTTACTGGATTCGATTCCCCACGGTGCTATCTTCTTGTTTGGGCAAGGGGCAGACGACGCTATATAGGCCTAGCAGCTTAGCACGTTGTGAAAACCCAATGAACCATACGCACACAGGCAGAAGTGTGCATACTAGTGTAGCAGACGAGCGCGAAAGTGCGAATAATTAATCCGTTCGTGTTACATCATCATCCTGAACATCGTTAAGAACAAGCCGGTGCTATTGGATGTGCATGTGGCTCAGATGAAGACGACATTTTCAAGTAGAAGTAAAGATTTTACACAAAACGACTCACACTGAACAACCTCAGAAGCCTTATTGCTCAGTTGCTTTCATTTCGTTTATTTTGATATTACGAAAAGCTTGTTTTGATGATAAACGTATCTTTTACTTCCTGTTGCAGTAATTCTTCCTGTAAGACCCAGTTATCCTTCCTGAAAATCGCTGATAAAGCTGTCTTGCAGCGCAAATGTGTGCGAAAAGACTCACCTTGTGTCTCAACGAGCCTCCGCTGTCATGCCTTCCCTCTCCCCAGCCTAGAAGTGGCTTACCTAGTGTAGCTCGGGCTGGCCATCTCTGCACAAGCACCGTTAAAACGCCCCCAAAGAAGACTGTGTCCCAGCTTTATAGCATGATTAGAACGAGGCATTCTATGACGGATGGGCAACTTTTGCTGATCATCGTCCTCGTCTAGGGTGTTGGCATTTTCGCGGCGCTTCGGCCAGCTTATTTTCGCGCCGTCGTCAGGTGTTACTGTCTCTGATGCATCAGCCATCAGGTATTATAACACACGGCCGCGGTTGGAGAATTCACTGGCGGAAATGCGAAGTAGACACTGACGCACAAGGCTGCCACGTTTCTCAGAACTCTCCTCGCTTGGCGGATGTCTAATCCACATGATTACACTCACCTCATACGTCCACCAACAGACGGCAGCCCCAGTGGCGGAGACAGACTTTTGTAATTGCTTTTTGTGTACCGTGTCGACCTCGTGTGCGCACACTGATCTGTATATTTTTATAAGCGTCGTCAGTATCATCCGCCACGTCTTGGTGTGCTCGGTGTATTTTGCAATAAAGCCGTGGAGCGACGACGTGTCATTAAAAGCTCGACGCGGCGGGGTCAACTGCCCGGCCAGACCGCCCGGGAACGACACGGCGGGGTCAACTGTCCGGCCAGACCGCCCGGGAACGACACGGCGGGGTCAACCTGTCCGGCCAGACCGCCCGGGAACGACACGGCGGGGTCAACTGTCCGGCCAGAAACCGCCCGGGAACGACACGGCGGGTCAACTGCCCGGCCAGACCGCCCGGAACGACACGGCGGGGGTCAACTGTCCGGCCAGACCGCCCGGGAACGACACGGCGGGGTCAACTGTCCGGCCAGACCGCCCGGGAACGACACGGCGGGGTCAACTGTCCGGCCAGACCGCCCGGGAACGACACGGCGGGGTCAACTGTCCGGCCAGACCGCCCGGGAACGACACGGCGGGGTCAACTGTCCGGCCAGACCCCCCGGGAACGACACGGCGGAGTCAACTGCCCGGCCAGACCGCCCGGGAACGACACGGCGGGGTCAACTGTCCGGCCAGACCGCCCGGGAACGACACGGCGGAGTCAACTGCCCGGCCAGACCGCCCGGGAACGACACGGCGTAGATTGACGTGTGTGAGCCGCAGGGCTGGTTACATGCCGCATGAACTCGACGACCGCTCGGCATCGGGGCCGCGGGCACCAGGCTAAGGGCAGTTAGTGCACCGCCCCCTGGTTTCAGTAGATATTTACTGAACTGTTCAGTGCATCATAACGCAGTTTTGACTAGCTGCTGTTATACGTGATCACGCCAAAAGGTAGAACATATTTTTTCACTTAAGGGTAACCTTATTTTTCACCAGTAGCAGCCAAGAGAGCAACCAAAAGAGCATGCCATTCTGGTATCCCAAACCGGAGATCACAGAAGCAACACCAAACAAGCAGCATAACGTGTGCAATTCTGATGCGCCCAGAGC